GGCGAATAATCGTACCTCTACTTGGCGCTTTTTGATGGCGGTAAGTGGTGTTGTGGTCCGGAAATAAGAAGGTACATAATTTCCTATTTATTATGTTAGTAGAACCCTAGGCGATGCCGAAACAATGTATCCTCATCTAGAAAAATTAGCGCTCGCCCTACTAAGCGCTTCTAGGAAGCTAAACATATACTTTCAATGCCACCTCATATGTGTCGTGACCTCCTATCCACTAAGGAATGTCATACATAAACCCGAGCTTAAGCCTCTTGGCCTCTTGAATCTCGGCCGACAGATCAAATCCCCGGGCGTAAATCTCCTCGAGGGTCTCCCTCCGAGACAACCACTTTACATACTCGACCTTCGTTATTAAACGGGGCTCGGCTATCTCCACATCAATTTTATAGTGGGCCAACATTTATTCAACCTTGGAGGAATCAATCGAGGTTGCCTCTAACTTGGACTTCAGCGCAGTATATTTCTGGCAGAGGTTGTCCCGTTTCGAGACGGCTGAATCCAATTGTGCCCAAAGCTCGTCATTTAGCCGAGACCACTTGTCAACCTTATCCTTTGCCACCAGGAGCTGGTCCTTGACCAACGCCAACTCCTTTTTTGTAGCCTTATTTTCCTAGGCAAGAAGGTCCATCCTGCTCCTCAACATCTCGGCCGATGTGTTGAGCTCATTCATCTCGACCCGGAGCTGGTCAATCAAGTCTATTTTCTCTTGGACCTGCGAGGTCGCGTCGTTAGTCACTACGTGTAACCTCTCATTTTTAACCTAAAAGTCCTTACCTTCTCGACCAGGTTGGCATGCTTCTGTTTCACGGACAAAGCCTCTTTTGAGCTTTTTCCATCTTGACTCGAAGAATAGGGAGGTCCTTGAGGGCTTCATCTCTTTGCTCATTTAGGACCCTATACATATCCTTCTGTCAAATTTGCTCTTTAAGCTCGAACTCGAGCTGGCTGATCTCCATACGAGACCGAAGGAAGCTTTCGTGATAGAGCACCGAAGCCTGGAAAACAAAATGATAAGATTATGAGGGTATACTGAAGTTAAATGAGATGCACGATGAGCACAAGCAATGGGAAACTTACCTGGTTCAGTGCATGTTGTGCCTCATTGAAGAGGCTCGATGTGTCCACTTCATTCATCTTTGCTTGGTCATCCTCGGTCACCAGGCAACGAAGGTGGCCGGCTACGCCCACCGGAGCAGACAACACTCGGGTGTCCGCCGGGATAGTAAACACGACCGTTCTTTTACGGCGGGGTCCACGCTCGGTGCAGGGAATTTCCTAACCAGCTTCGGGCTCGAGCTCGGCTCACCTGCTTTTGACGGCACATCCTTTTTCGGGATCTCCAAGTGACCAAACCCAGAATAATCCTCTAGCGCGTTCATATCCACATTGTCGAAGAACATGTTGAGAGCCATGTCTGCGGCCCGTGTCATCTTATTTGGCTTCTCCTTGACGGCCTGATCCTCATCGAACGTGGACTCTGTATAGGATGTAGATTCTGCGATGTCAATGACACTAGCTATTTCCCACGGGGCAGGGATAGTTTCTCGAGAGGTCGTAGCCTCTGATTTTCCATCCGGTTCTCGGGCTAAAGAAGGATCGGCCTCTCAGCCACTACCCCCGATTGCCGATTGTTCCTCTTCATCAGTGACCGGTGCATGAGCGGCAAATTTCAGGTCGTCATCTTCAGGGTATTCCCTGGGCTGGTAGAGGGAGTCAGAGTCAGATACCCTGGCCCGGGTTTTCTTCTTGTTGTTTTTCTAGACCCAAATTGTTACCTTGTTCTTCTTAACTTTGGCGCCTGGCGAGCCGGAAGATTTTCTCTTTTTCTTATGTTTCTCCTTCTGTGCATCAGCTCCAGACTGTCCCGAAGCAGAGAGTTTAGCTAGTGAGGACGGATCCTCGTCCTCGTCCAACGGTCGAAGCTCAATGGTCTTGGAAAAATCTGTAAAAAGAGAAGAACTTAGTAGAAACAAAGGTTGAGTATGAAAATAGACTTATTCGGGAGTAGCACTCACCATGGGGACGAGGCTCCCACTTGCCCTTTGAAAGTTTGCGCCATTTACCCTCAAAATATGACATTTGTTTGCAGATCCACTCCTTGAAGCGAGGAACTGCTTTGGGAACTCAGGAAACTACTGCACGAAGGTAGAAGCAGTCAATAAGAAAAAGGAACAAAAGAAATTCCAAGTACTCAGGAAGGAAAGAAACTTATGGGCTGAGTTACACATTTCAGGGAATGGTAAAGATTCGGAGGGGGAATGAGATCTTCGGTTTTCACCCGAACAAATCTCTCCTGCCAACCCCGATCCCGATCTTCATCGATGCTCGAGAACAGAGCTTTTCTTGCTCGATGAACGAGCTTGATCAATCCCCCTCGAAAAACTCGGGGACAGTAGAGACGAGGCGGGTGGTTTTGGTAAATCGAGGTGCTTCGGTGTTATTGACAAAGTGGTGGAGGAGGATTACGATCCTCCAAAAGGAGTGAATCTGCCCAAGGTAGACCTCATACCTTTTGCAGAAGCTTAGGATTATAGGGTCCACTGGGGCAAGCGTGAAGGGGTAAGTGTAAACACTTAGATACCCATCCACGTAAATGGTGATGTCCTCATCGGGACCGAGGACAACCACTTCCTTTCCCTCCTAGTTGCAGTTCTCTCAAACTGTAGGGAATGTATCCTCGGTAACGGAGCATATGTACCTCTATACCCCCTCGCCTCGGTCCTGTTGACTGTAGGCTTTCTCGACTTTGAAGTCGTTCTCAATAGAGTAGCCCCAGGGGATGAAGCTTTTCAGGGGAGGCTCCGGGGCCACCTCGGGCACGGCCACCTCGGCATCCATGGTCGGGTTGGAAGTTTAAGGGATGGTTTAGTGAGGCGTGGATTTGAAAGTCTTCGCCATCAGAATCTGGAAAATAAGATGATTTGAAGGTAAAAATGAAGATTTGAGGATAAGGATGAAGGTATGAAGGCCATATTTGAAGGTTTGAAGAAGAAGTATGAAGATTTGAAGATGAAGATATGAAGATCTAAAAAACAATGTATGAGGGTTTGAAAGGATCGAGGGTAAAGTAAGGAGCTTTGGAATCAGAAAGTAAAAAAAGGGATCGAAGATTTTATAAAGAAGGGGTAATCAATGCGTGACGTTTCGTATTCGAAGACGGTCAATCGACAACTGACACGTATATGTAGTCAAAATGACGTGACTGATGGGACGTTTAACTGACCCACCAACTCGATTGTAGCGCATGGAAGAAGAAACCGGGGTTAATATATCGCTTCGATAAATCTACTCTCTAAGAAACGAGGGAACTATCTTTGTACGGGTAAAATCGGGGGCAGAGTTTTTCATGATTCCCCGATGAGAAAACAAAGAGGAAGCACGACTTGACATGATTATAATCGAGGCTCAAGGACCCCTCGTATTGAAACTCGGGAAGGATGAACGATGTGTCTGAGATCGGGCACGGTAAAATAACTGACCGTGACCAAGTATAGTTTCTGGACCTCGGGAAGCGCGGAGAACAGTTATGCATGATGAGTAGGGCGCCGTAATATTTGCCCTCAATCGGATATCATGGCGCGAATCCCATCCGATATCAAGCGCAAGTCAACATTTACCGGAAAAAGAAGATTGTTTTACCTTATTTAGACTTGTATTAGAAATAAAATTCTCCTATTATATAAAGGAAAATGTTTCTTTTATTTTGGACACATTGTGACACGAAAACCAAAGTAAATAAAGTTTATTTTTGTCTCTTAGCTATCATTGAAAGTGTTCTTTATTTGTTCTCTTCTTTATTCGCGACCGAGCTTGTATCGAGGGTTCGATCAAGGACGAATTTCACTGTTCAATCTAAGATCAGGCTTGACCATCACATTACGATTGGTTCGATCATTTATTTTATCTTTAACTTATTTATCTGTTGTTCTTAATCATTCGTATTGAATTAAATCGCATATCATTTAAACCGTGTACAAATTTAATTGTTACTTATTTTTAGGGTAAACAAACTTATATAACATATGATTTCATTTTTTATTTTCGCATAAAACTAAGCATTATTTTTACAATGTTTGGTCTCAGTTGTTCTATTCAATGCAACTACTAGCACATAAGCTATTTTGTAATCTATATTCTTATTTTATGCGTGATAGAATGTTAAAAGCATGACCTAAAGTTCTGAAAAAGCATTCCTTTTGTAGTTTTACTTTTCTTTCGAAATGAACCAATAATATACCAATAGTAAGTATTAAAATCTAAAAAGTCTAATTTATTTGAACTTGAAACAAGAATATCAATGTAGAAAAGTTATTTTAATATATTTTTAAAAAATGATTAAGAAGTATATGGGGAGATTAAAAAGTTATAAGCACACATACAATTCATAATTTATTTTCCAATGCCATATTCTTATCATCTCCTTGGTGTATCTTAACTCTTAATATTATATATCAAGGTATTCTATTTCACATCATTTAATATTTAAACTTATCAAGGTTTTGATATAGTAAATGTAATTCGAGTTGATGTAGTAATACTTCCCTGGTATAATATATGGTTTTGGATACGTTTTTTCTATCGACGATTATAAAATAATTAGAGTAGGACAAGACGCTTATTCAGGTAATTATGAGGTGCATATATTTTCCACAAAAAGCAACTCGTGGAAATTGATGGGCAAGTTTCATCCGTATAACGAGTTCTTTGATGGGGACATTGTTACAGTAGATGGGATTGTTTATATCATAGCAATGACGGATTTGTCCAATACTAGTCCGAATGACTTTACTATAGTACGTTTTTGTTTGGAGAAGGAAACATTTCAGGAAATATTGTTTCCAGATCGGATTAAAAGTTGGGAAGATCCAGTTTTATGTGCTCTAGGAGAAAACCTTTGTTTGACTAGGTTACACAATGACTCGAGACGCGATTTTGAAGTTTGGTATATGACGAAGAATGGAATGAGCAATTCACAAGTGCCCCAATTAAGCTTCATCGGTATTTTACAGAAAATCGGATAAAGTTTCCCCTATCCAAAAACTTTCATGTCTCATAAACAAGTAACAACCAACAAATATTGACCTAAATCAGTCACAATATTCATCAACTAACCACAAACGGGTTTCCACCAATATTACCAACCTCCTCAACATAATAAAACCAAAACCAACTCTAAAAATACGGAAAGAAAGTATGATACTAGTAACTAGTCCATATCAACAAATGAGTACTCAGGACACTAAAAGGATAATTATGGAGCGACTCTAAAAGTTCAAAGAAAAGGCCATAACAATAAATAAAATCTCTGCCCACGCGAATAAGTGCGAGGCTCACCAAAAACTATCAACTTGTGCGCTCTAATTAACGAAATCCTCGCCTGCGTCAACTGTTGTCTCTGTACAAAAAAATTAGCAGGGAATGAGTCGCTAGCTCAGTGAGTAATAACACTTAACCACAACCGTTTTTATTGGGGACAAGTCAGAAAACATGCTAGTATATATATTAAACAGAAAATATCATAAGAATGCCCTTTCAGAAACAATAAACAATAATCAGTCTCATCATGTTTTTTTATGTAATATAAATCAATTGACAATTCGATAATAAGCTCGGTAAAATACTGTGTAATATCATTCATGTTTGGGAAGTTTCAATGAATAGATCATGTAATCGGTATAACTGTGGACTTCTTCGTAAGAAGTCAAATATAACGTTAGTCCCTACTCGAGGGAAATCGGTAACGGTATGCTAGTTCTACCTTCTCACTAGCGAGGGCTATAATTGTACTCGGTAATTACAAGGTGCACCAGGTCTAACGAACCCGTCGTTAGCTACGGCATCCTTCAAAGTCTACTCTCATTTATACTTGTCTCTGTAATCCGTATATACTCATAGGAAAATATTTTAAAATAATATAGGACATTTCGGTTCTTATCAAATCATGTAACTCATATCTAGTAATGTACAATTTGTTAGCATGTACAAGCCGTTACTACCATAAAAAAGATTCAGATTTACAGTTTGAAAGTCCCTGTAAAAATCTCTGTCCTTCATCGTCATTATTCTCATATTAGGTTATAAAGTCTCATAACTAAGTTAAGTGAAAAAATAGACTTAGATATTCTCCTAAGGAGAAGAGTGAAAGCATGGAGTCCCAGATTTTTGTGCCTCACGAAAATATGCAGGTGGAACTCATGCCTGAAGCTCAAAAGCCTTGTTCATCCACCAGTAAATTACTGATCTATGGAATCTAAATGATTAAATTATCTGTACAAGGGCAATTGACAAAGCAAAAGTACTACCTGTTTTACCATCACTGATAAAGTTAGATTTTCCTTTCCGCAGGACTGTAACACCGCCAATCCTGATCAAATGGATATTTTATCAAGTAACTGTAAAATATATCTAGTGACAACAAGAATATTTAAAACAACGGTAATCATGTCAAATAACTATTTCGGTATCATATCGAGTAAAAGACTTGTCCCACATGCAACTCAAAATAATCGGTGACATATTCATATTAAAAATTATGTGTAAATCATGCAAGTTATGAAAAATACAAATTGCGGTAAGATTACTACTCACAGTACTCGAGCCGAATACCAAATGCTTCACCTCGAGCAATTCGTACAACTTCCTCCAATCAATCTATAATCATATCAACACCGATCTCGTGTTAATTGCCTCATTTAAGCTAAATCCGTCACTAATTTAGAATACCCAATCCTCCGAGTTTTATATTTTATCATCAATTCGCCGAATTATATTTACTCATGCTATGAGTAATTTAAATTAGTCCAAAATCGTTTAAATAAAAAGGTATTTATATGGTTTATTCCCTGTACTGTTCAATTTCCTTAATCGTGTGCATAAATTGAAACTGAAATAACATTACTGTCCATAATATCCCTTATTTTTTTCCAAGTGAATTTATCTTACAGTAACGTTGACCAACTTCCAATTGCATAATTTGCCCAGAATAACTCTTATTGGTATTATATTTCTTATACCTTGTGAAACTCTTCAAATATATGAACTGAGATAAAAAGAATTACCAAAAAAAAAGAACTCAGATGAGAAATTCGAGTATTACCCATAAGAACCAGTGCGTAACTAAGATTTCTCAAGGTTTGGTTCCAGCCTCTTTCTTCTTCTTCTTCTTCTCCTTTTGTTTCCTCCTCTATGGTTTTTTTTTGTTTCTTCTATGTTGTTTAGCAACAGCTTTGTTGCGTCCCTTTTCCCCTTTTCACGTTTCTCCTTCTAATGGGCTTTAGCCCATTTTTCTATTATTTCTTCTTCTTTTTATTAACTTTAGTTAAAGACTTATATGCCTTTATTAATAAAATATAGGATATTATATCCTCCCCACCTTATGAAATTCGGTCCCCGAATTGAACTCAAGTACGTACATGTAGACTGAAACAAATGGGGTACTTCGCTTGCATATCTTTTTCTACTTCCCACGTAGCTTCTTCAACTGTATGATTTCGCCATAAGACTTTTACGAACTCAATTTCTTTTGACCGTGGCTTTCTTACTTGCCTATCAACAATAGCCATCGGTTCCTCCTCGTAAGACAACTTCTCATCAAGCGGTATAGCAGGTGCTTCAAGCATCTGAGATGAGTCTGATATACATTTCCTTAGCATTGAGACATGAAACATTGGATGAATAAAGGATAGCTCAGGAGGAAGTGCCAAGAGATAAGCCACAACTCCCACTCGGTCTAGTATCTCATACGGTCCTATAAACCTGGGGCTCAACTTGCCTCTTTTTCCAAACCGCATCATACCTTTCATGGGAGACTCGTAGGAACACTTTGTCCCCAATTGTGAACTTTAAATTTCTTCTTCTCTTATCAGCATAAGACTTTTGTCTACTTTGAGCTGCAAGAAATCCCTGTCTGATCAACTGGACCTTGTCCATAGCTTCTTGTACTAGGTCAGGTCCTAATAAGTTAGTCTCACCAACTTCAAACTATCAGATAAGAAAATGATATCTTCTACCATACAATGCTTCGTACGGTGCCATTTGAATGTTGGACTGGAAGTTATTGTTGTAAGCAAATTCAGCTAAAGGTAGATAAGCGTCACAACTACCTCCAAACTCAAGAATGCAAGCTCTCAACATATCCTCCAAGATCTGTATAGTACGTTCAGACTGCCCGTCTGTATGTGGATGAAATGCAGTACTAAGATCTACTCGTGTACCCAATGCTTCTTGAAAAGATTTTCAAAAGTGTGAGGTAAATTGTGATCCTCTATCAGAGATGATGGATATTGGAACTTCGTGAAGTCGGATAATTTCGTTCATAAATATTTGTGCATACCTTACTCCATCATATGTAGTCTTCACTGGAAAAAAGTGTGTTGATTTCATCAGTCGATCTACAATCACCCATACAGAGTCATAACCTCTAAGGGTTCGTGGTAGCCCGGTGACAAAATCCATAGTAATTCTTTCCCATTTCCACTCTGGAATCTCATTTTGTTGTAACAGTCCTGCGGGTCGCTGATGCTCAGCCTTGACCTACTGGCAAGTCAAACAACTAGAAACAAAGTTAGCAACATCTTTCTTCATACCTTCCCACCAATAGAATTGCTTTAGGTCATGATACATTTTTGTGGATCCAGGATGTATAGTGTATTTAGAGTTGTGGGCTTTTTCAAGAATAGCATGTCTCAACCCATCTACGTCTGCTACACATAGCCTGTCACCCATTCGAAGCATACCATCACTTTCAATAATTATATCCTTGCTTTTACCAGCTAAGGCATCATCTCTGTATTTGCATAATCGCTCATCCTCATATTGGGTGGCCTTAATGCGCTCAACTAATGAAGACTTAGCTTGAGCACAAGCCAACAATGCCTTTGAATTTCCGACACTAAATCTGATACCTATATCTTCTAGTCTCTGAATATCTTTGGCCAAAAGTCTCTTTGCAAGAGCTATATGTGCCAAACTCCCCATAGATTTTCTGCTCAATGCATCAGCCACCACATTGGCTTTTTCAGGATGATACAAAATAGAACAGTCATAGTCTTTGAGTAGTTCCATCCACCGACGTTGCCGAAGATTCAGATCTCTATGATGAAAGATATACTTCAGACTTTTATGGTCAGTATAAATCTCACAAGTTTCGCCATATAGGTAATGCCTCCAAAGTTTTAGAGCAAATACCACTGCAGCCATATCCAAATCATGTGTGGGATAGTTTTGCTTATGCTTTTTCAATTATCTCGAATCATAATCTATAACGCGACCATTTTGCATGAGAACACATCCTAATCCCACCCTCGAGGCGTCACAGAATAATGTAAATCCTCCAGAACCTGATGGTAAGGCTAATATTGGTGCAATTATCAAACATGTTTTGAGTTTTTGAAAGCTCTGCTCACATTCCTCCGTCAACTGAAACTTTGCATTTTTCTGTGTTAGCTTGGTCAGTAGCGCTGCTATCCTGGAGAAATCCTACACAAAAACGCCTGTAATAGGCTGCTAAGCCTAAAAAGCTGCGAATCTTTGTAGGAGAAGTAGGCCTGGGCCATTTCTGCACAGCTTTTGTCTTCTTAGGATCTACCATAATTCCATCTTTGGATACAACATGCCCCAAAAATGCTACCGAGTCTAGCCAAAATTCACACTTTGATAACTTAGCATAAAGTTGATGCTCTCGCAATGTCTGCAACACAATCCTGAGATGATTCTCGTGTTCTCCTTGGCTACGAGAATATATCAGGATATCATCAATAAATACTATTACAAATCTATCCAGAAACGGCTTGAACACCCTATTCATTAAATCCATGAATGCAGCTAGAGCATTAGTTAGTCCGAAAGGCATCACAAGAAACTCATAGTGCCCATATCGAGTTCTGAAAGCAGTCTTAGAAATATCTTCATCTTTGATTCTAAGTTGATGATAACCAAAACAGAGGTCAAACTTTGAAAATTGGGCAGCTCCTTATAACTGATCAAACATGTCATCTATACGAGGCAAAGGATATTTATTGCGTATTGTTATCTTGTTCAACTGCCTGTAGTCAATGCACATTCTCAGGGATCCGTCTTTCTTCTTTACGAACAGTACCGGTGCACCCCATGGAGATATACTCGGTCTGATAAAACTCTTATCTAACAAATCCTGCAGTTGTTGTTTTAGCTCCTTCAACTCTGCTAGTGCCATCCGATATGGCAGTATTGATATGGGTTGTGTGTCAGGTGGAAAATCAATACCAAAATCTATTTCTCGTACTGGAGGCAATCTTGGTAAATCCTTAGGAAATACATCAGAAAATTCTCTCACTACTGGTACATTTTCTATACTAATTATTTCCTTTCTTGTGTCATTTACAATAGCTATGAGACCCAAGCAACCTTTCTTCAGCAGTCGTTGAGCCTTCATAAAAGATACATATTTGTAATTCTCTGGAACCTGACCCCCTTTTAGAACAAAATTGGGTTCGTTTGGTATCTCAAACTTGACTATCTTTGCATGACAATCGACGATAGCATAGCAGAAAGATAACCAATACATTCCCATCAACATGTCAAAGTCGATCATATCAAGTACAATAAGGTCAGCTAGAGTATCTCTACCTTCAACCCGAATCTAACAAGCACGATACACGTATTCAGCTAATAGAGACTCTACAACAGGAGTAGCAACTAGAAAAGGGTACACGTATTCAGCTAATAGAGACTCTACAATAGGAGTAGCAACTAGAAAAGGGTCATTCAATAGCTCAGGCTGCTACTAAACCTCAAAGCACAGTACGAGGACACATAGGTGTGAGTAGATCCCGGATCAATCAACGCAAGTGCATCAAATGAACAGACAGAAAGAATACCTGTAACCACAACATTTGAGGCCTGAGCATCCTGTCTAGTAAATGCAAAAACTCTCGCCTGACCTCTACCAGCATTCCCTTGTCCTTGATTCACAGTAGCATGATCTCCAGCACCTCGACCTCTATTTCATTTACCTGTAGCACCTGAAGTATTACGAGTAATCTGAGTAGGTGCAGCTGACTGAATAGAAGCCTGGTTGAAATTTCTTGGAGGCTGAGGGCAATCCCTCAAGTGATGTCCCAACTGGCCACACCGAAAGCACTCTCCAATTAGAATACGATATTGGCCCAAATGTGATCTACCACAGGTCTGGCAGACTGGAGTAGTGGCATATATCTGCCCAGAATTATGATGTCCAGAAGATGATGGTCCCCTATTACCCTGTCTGTAATGCGGTCTGTATGTGGACTGTGAAGACAAGTGTGTCCCTGTCTGAAAACCCTGTTGTTGTCCCTGATTTCCTGCTCTTCGATTTTCACTAAAACCGCCACTGAAAGACCCTCATGTCTTGGCCTTCTTACGTAAATCACTAGTTACACGCTTCTCACGTCCCTTGGTTTCAATCTTTCTAGCAAGGTCGACTGCATCAGAGTAGGATAAAGTCTTCATCTGTGGGGCTACTGCAGTGTATAGACGACCAACTAATCCATCAACAAACCTCTGAACTCGAGATTCTTCGGTAGGCACTAAGTAAGGGACATATCTAGCCAGCTTACAAAACTTTGTGTTATATGTTGACACATCCATATCTGGAGTCTGAACCAATCTCTCAAAGTCTCTAGCATATTTTTGCATCAAGTTGTCCGGAAGAAAATTATTCATGAACAATTTAGTGAATTCGTCCCATGTCAGTGGTGCTGCTCCTACTGAGCTTCCTAGCAATACAGTTTCATACCATGTGTTGGCCATATCCTCTAGTTTGTATGTTGCGAGCTCCGAGGCTCTCTCACTAGAACATCCTAGAGCAGGTAATGCCTCGAGTGGCCCATCCAAGAAACTTTAAGGATCTGCTGAATTATCAAAACCTGTAAATTTTGGTGATTTCAATTTCAGGAACTCTTGTAGGGATACTTCCTTATTCCCGAAAGTTTGAGTTTGTGCAGGTGCTTGTGTTTGTAGAGTAGCCGGAGGAGCTGAACTTCCACCCTGAGTAGGCACCAATGCCTCTAACACATTCAATAACCTTGCCACAGCGTCTGCAGGTAAGGCAACAGTTGGCACTGGTGGTGGAGCGTCTTGAACTCCCTGCCCTTGCACTTGATATGGCATAGCAGCTTGGGGTTGACCCATGTTCCCAACTTCAGGTTGAGGGGCAGCCTGTCTTCTAGTTTGATGAACGCCAACTTGACCGCCACCCCGGGTAGCACCACGTCTAGCCCCACGTCCAGCAGATGAGGGTGTGCGTATGCTAGCCATCTGCGAAAGAAATATTCCAAAGTCAATCTCAAGTTATCTCAACGCACGATCAAAGAATGAAAGAAGGGAAAACATTCCTAGATGTTCAGTAGCCTCAAGATCAAGAGTATGGGCGCCTACATACCCATGAACAAGACTCTACAAAACATTGCTCCATGAATCGGGACTTAAAGCCTAAGATCTGATACCAACTTTGTCACGGCCCAATTTAGGATCATGACCGGCGCTTAGGAGCAAGTGCCCCCAAGTAAGCCTCATCGGTATTTTACAGAAAATCTGATAGAGTTTTCCCTATTTTAGGATTATCCAAAAGTTTTCATGTCTCATAAACAATATACAACCAACCAATATTCACCTAAATCAACCACAATCTTCATGAACTAACCAAAAATGAGTTTTCGCCAACACTACCATAATAATACTAAGCCCATCTCAAAAATACGGAAAGAAAGTGCAATACTAGTAACTAGTCCAATATAACGAATGAATACTCTTGACACTAATAAAAATGACTATGGAGCGACTCTAAGAGTTCAAAAGGAAAGACGATAAAAATAAATAAACTCTTCGCCCACGCAAACAAGTGCGGGGCTCACCAGGATCTATCAACTTGTGTATTATAATTAACGAAATCATCGTTCACGTCAACTGATGTATCTGGAAAAAAATAGCGGGGAGTGAGTCGCTAGCTCAGTGAGTAATAACACTTAACCACAATTATTTTTAATGGGGACATGTCAGAAACCATGCTAGTATATTAACCAGAAAATATCATAAGAATGCCCCCTTTCTAAAACGGTAAATATAATCAGACTTTTCATGTGTTTCCTGTAACAGAAATCAATTCAACATATCGGTAATAAACTCGGTAAACACTGTCTCATAGCAAATCTTTATGTTTGGGAGGTTTCCAAGAAAGGATCATGTAATATGTATCACTGTGTGGACCTCTTCGTAAAAGGAGTCAAATATAGTTGTAGGTCCCTAATCGAGGGAAAACTGTAACTGTATGCTAGTTCTACCTTCCCACTAGCAAGGGTTATAACTGTAATTGGTAATCTGTAAATACAAGGTGAACCAGGTCTAACGAACCCACCGTTAGCTACGGGATCCTTCAAAGTCTACTCCCATTTATACTTGTCGCTGTAATCCGTATATACTTGTCGGAAAATATTTTATAGCAATATCGGGTATTTCGGTTCTTATCAAATCATGTAATTTCGTTTCAATAACGGTAAATCTTATCTCAAGTAACGATAAAACATATTCAGTAGCAATGAGAATATTCATATCAATTGTAATCATCTCCAATATATATAGTGGCATCATATCAAGTAAAGGACTTGTCCCACATGCAAATTCAAAACAGCCGATGACATGTTCATGTTAAAATCACATGTAAATCATGCTAGTTGTAGAAACCCAAATTGCGATAAGGTTACTACTCACAGTACTCGTGCCGGAATACAAACTTGTCACTTGCGAGCACTTCGTGTGACTTTCTTCACGACCTATACTGTTACAAAATCAATATAGGTATTAGCTTCGTGAACTACCAATGTAATCGATTCCAGATCCTGTCAAATCTAATCTATTTTTCTGTTTTCACTCCTCGAAATATGATCATCTATTCTCTATTAATAGTAATTAACTGGAAAGTAAATTGGTTCTTGCTTCTGTGTATGTCAATATATATAGATTGCTTATACAGATACTTAGAATTGCCTGGGAACTCAATACCTTTGCTATATTTCACGTACTGCTTTGCAAGCACTCAGAGACTCTCCACTAAAGTAGCATGAAAGTCATAGATTCATTACTTTCTCAATTTAGAATAATGACAATCTGATCTCATTCATAGGTATTCTCCTATACAATTCAATCGAAACTCAGTATGACCACGTTATCAATATCACTATTTAGCCATGATAATCTGGATATACCTATGTTAATGGAAAAAACAAAATACCTTGAAACTCGAATTAAACTCCGCTGAAAGTGGCTCTCTTGCTGCACCAGATCGCTAGACACTATAAAGACCTTCTTGATTTTCTCTTTATAGATGTGAACTTGCTACCAACAACTTTGTTGTTCCTCAATTTTATTTTATTTTGCAGGAGCCTTAATGCCCCAACTCTCCTACTCTTATTCATTTTTCTTTGAGATTGCAAGGAATTGGAATTTTACCCCTTCCCAAACTCTATACGATGCCCTATATCCAATATTTCTTGGGCTTCGGCCCTTCTATTTTTTTTTATTTGCTTGCTTGTTTCTATCTTTATTTATGTATTTGTAGGGTATTACATTCTCTCTATCTTATAAAATTCGGTCTCCGAATTTAAAAGAAATGCATACCTATAGTGTGAAATAAGTGAGAATATTTCATGGAGTAAGATGTTGACAATTCCATCAGTGCATTGCGGACGTTGCTTGAGGCCTGTGAGCTTTATGAAGAATGGAGACATATTATTTTTGAAGTTTAAAGGTGAATTCGTGGTTTATAATTCAAAAAGACACAAATTCGAAGATGTTAAACTTGCAGGCCTTGAGGCACCACTTTACTTCAATTGGGTTGTACCATATTTTGAAACTTTGTTTTCTCCTAAATCCTAATTAATATTGCTCTATTAGGACAGAACTTTACTTTCTGTTTCTTTAATTGATTCTACTTAACTAGTACCTCTTTACAATTTTTTCTTTTCATCTTGGTACGTTCTTTTCTTTCTTACTTTTTTTATTTTGTGTGTGTGTGTGTGTGTGTGAACGTGCTTAAAATCAATTTTACGTGACTTTTTATCCACTTAATTCCTTCGTCGTAGTAACAATTTATTCTAGATGATGATTTGAATTCATGTCAGTATTTTTTATCGTTTTTGTAATAGGTAGAAATAAGCCAATCATAAGAGAACTTGTCAATAGATTTGATGCAGAAACTCATTCGTCTTCACCGAATCAAATGTGCCTAACACGCCTATTAGGAGTACTAGCAACTTTAATATTTTACTAAAGAAGGGGATAAAATAGATTGTATACCGTTAAATTGCGCTAACTTCTCTCTAGATTAATATTCATTGTGAGAGATCGATCGAATTTGCAGAGTCTAATGGTTAACAATTTTACCATTAGTAACTTTGTTAGTTTGATATTCAATGGAAACAAATCATATCAATTTAATAAATAAAGTATCTGATAATTAAATTATAGTGTAATAAACATTGACTGTGCCTCAATGGATAGTGATAAGTGAGTTTGTAGACCATTAAATCGGAGATCTTGAGTTTGAATAGAAATCATTTTCCCCTTATATGAATCCTACATATTACGAATTCAAATTAATCAAATCAATATTTAACTGAATATCAAATAATTAAACAAAAAGATAGATAGCAAAACACAACCATCGTGATATTCCTTGATCAATACTCCTTGATCAAAATTGAAAAAGAACACATACTGTACAACAGTTTCATTGTGCAACTCATATTCATGTTAGGAAAGATTTTATTACGACAATTTTTATTAATTATGACATGGCGTATGTGGATAAGACACCTAACAACCTGAGTCAAAGGGGTTATTTACCATGTAGCTATTAGGGCTGTAAAAAAAATCGATAAACCGCACAAAACCGATAATTCGAGTCAAATCGGAAAAAAAAATCCAGTTGTGGTTTGGTCTGGTATTGGAAAGAAAAAACCCGACCATAATTGGTTTTGATTTGGTTTTAACAAAAAAAAAAAAATCAAACCGAAACCAAACTAACATAATAGTACATTTACACAATTTTTAAAAATATTTTATATATATGAATATTTATTATAATGTAATTTATAAATACTTCTTAAACTTTTTTACAATTTTATCTTTTAACGTTTTATTTCAAGTTTGGACTTAACATTCTTAGATGGTAAATAAATTTTATATCCCATAAGTGTAATAACTCAAGCAAAGTTCAAATCAATACTAATGCTAACAAAATAAATTCAATTCAATACTAGAAATGACGATAGTATTGGATATCTTATAAATTCAAAATAAATTTTATAAAATGCATTACTTAGTTTATCCTTTCCTTTAATACTTAGTTATGTAGTTAATAGTACTTATTAGCTATACTTATTTTAGCATGACCTATATAGTATTTTTATATTATGTTAATTTTATTATGGCTTATTAATTAGCAATATTTGCTTTATGCAATTTTATTATCTTTGTTATTGAATATTTTAGTATAATGCTATGACTTATCTCATATTATTGTGTTATTTTCTTGAAAAATATATTATATAGTTGTATCTTACTAGACTAAAAAATATTTGGAGCACAAGTTACATATTTTGTGCTATGAAGACTTACCGGAAAAATAATCCGAAAAAACCGAGAAAAATCGAGATTGAAAAACCTCATTTAACATAACTAAATCTATACTATATTAAAAGCACGAAAGCCTTTAGCAAAATGTCATTCGCCTTTTTTACCCTTTAAAAATTAATTTCACACTAGATAAAATAATCATTTTATTATTTTTCTATAATTAGGAATTTAAATCACCTAAAATTTTGGACCTTAAATCCTTCCTTATTTGAACTTGATAGAAACTCCTAATATTTAGAAATTTATAATCTATTAAGTTTTACATTGTATAAATTATTTCCTTGTTTGAAGTACTAACATAAGTATAATTAATATCTTTCACGTTAATTTTATGACTCTTTAGGAGATTGAAATTAGCTTAAATTAGTTTTAGTTCATTGCAGAAACAAGTCACTTACAAATATATATTCACACTTTTTTAAAAGTTTAAAGATAATTGTATACTTAATATTGGAACTAACTAATCAATGTATTAGTTTCGAAGTCAAAGTTCACCATCTTTGCTAAACAAATATACGTGGATATACTATTGTTTATTCAAATATGCTATCACCTCAATCATTCAGAAATAACATGCGATATAAAAGAGTGAAAGAAGAGATAGAATTTTTTTAAATTTTTAATCAGATAAACAAAAAAAAAAAAAAAAAAAAAA